TTTTTCTTGTTGGTTTTCTCATTGGTTGATTTTTTTCTACCCTGTCTTCTCATTCACTGATCCAGTCCTCAGCTTCCTCTACTCTGCTTTTTAAACCTTCCAATGTGTTTTTCATTTCTGATATGTCATTTTTTATCTCTTCTTGCTGGTTTTTAATTTCCAATTGGCTTATTTTCAGTGTCTCTATGTCCTTACTCATGCTGTTCAGCTTCCTCAAGATCATGGCTTTGAATTCTAGCTCTGTTAACATGCCTAATTGCTCCACATTGGTCTCATCTTCAGTAGAGGTCTCTTGCTCTTTCATTTGGCTTCTGTTTCTGTGTTTCACCATTTTGGCTATCACTGTGGGCTTTGGAGCCTGTCAAGTTTTCCCTGTGGGTGTTGGTGTTCTGCTGTTTGTGGCTCCCTCTCCTATGTTTAGATGAGGGAGGGAGGACCCACGTTGAACACCACTGTCAAGTCTTACTTTCCTGGTTAAAGTTGCCAGCCCAGGAAACGTACTGTTATCCTCAAGCTTTTTGCCTGAGGCTAGCAGTCCAGGTTACTTGAAGAGTTTTGGGTTGTCAGTTGATTGAAAAACTCCCTCAGGTGCTCAGCACAAGGGGCTTTCATGAAGGTGGGGCAGATACTGGTTGTTAATGAGCCTCAATTAGCACTTCAATGGCCCACAGGGTGGGGTTGGATCTCTGAGCCAGGGGCTGCTGCCTCTCCTCAGAGCCCTGGGAAGGAGCAATGTGGCCACCTCCGCAACTGCTCTGGGTGCCCTACAAATCCCGAGTGTCCCCACGCAGTTCCAATCCAATCTGCCCTCCCTCTGCCGGAGCCCAAGGTGAGTGGCTGTGGCTGTTTTAGCCTCTGTCCCGGCTGCGCTGTGGAGCCGCCTGGGAGTGTGACCCGAGGGCGCTGCTACCAGCTAAGGCCGCTGCCGAGCTGCCGACCGTGGGCTCCCAGCCCCGTCTCGCGCCTTCGCAAGCCTACCGGGATGGAGTCAGTGTCCCTCGTTGTATGGTCCTCGCAAGCTGCTTTTCTGTTGCTTTTTCCCGTCAATTTGTCTGTGTTATAGTTGTAATTCCAGTTTGGTTCTGGGAGACGGTCTGTGTAGCTCCGTTCACTCTGCCGCCATTTTTCCTCCCCCCCAACTCGGCATTCTTAATAAAAAATAATGTAATTGGCCTTTCTCAATCCTTATAAAAGAAATCCTTTTTTTGTTTTTTGTTACATGCCCCTAGTGGGAACCAAACCCGGAACTCTCTGGTCTGCAGGCCGATGCTCCAACTGCTGAGCCAAACTGGCCAGGGCAAAGAAATCATTTTTTCAAGGATTAGCTTGAAGAAAGAAATTTACAAGGATATGTAAATGGAAGGCTGTACTGTGTTCATGAATAGGAATAATTAACATTGTTTAAATGACCATTCTACCTAATGCAATCTACAGATTGAATGTTGTCTGTATCAAAATACCAATGGCATTTTCTATAAAACTAGAACAAATAATTAAAAAGTTTACATGAAACCACAAAAGACCCTGAATAGACCAAGCAAACTTGAGAGGAAAAAAACAGAATTGGGAGGTATCACACTACCTGATATCAAACGTACTACAAGGCTACACAGTAATCCAAACAGTGTGGTACTGGAATTGACACATAGATTAATGGGACAGAATAGAACCCAGAAAAAATAAACCCACGTTTATATGGTCTTTCTATGACAAGCAGACAAGAATATGCAATGTGATAAAGACAGATTCTTCAAGAAATGGTACTGGGAAAACTGGTCAGGTACAAGCAAAGAAATGGAATTGGAACACTTTCTTACACCATATACAAAAATCAATTCAAAATGGATTAAACACTTTAATGTAAGACCTGAAACCTTAATCCTAGAAGAAATGTATAAGCAGTAACTCTCTGACATGTCTCTTAGCAATGTTTACTCAGGCTTTTTGGCAAGGAAAACTAAAGAAAAAAATAAACAAATGGCACTAGCTCAAACTAAAAAGTGCACAGCAAAAGAAATCATGAACAAAACAAAAAGACAACATACTGAATGGGAGATAATATCTGCTAATACTTCCAATAAGGGGTTGATAGTCAAAAAAATATATAGAATTCGTACAGCATAACTAAAAAAAACAAAAAAACAAAACCAAAAACACACAAAACCCCCCACCAAATAATCCAATTAAAATGAGCAGATATTTCTCAAAAGAGGGCATACAGATGGCCAATAGACATATGAAAAGGTGCTCAAAAACACCAATCATCAGGGAAATGCAAATCAAAATCAAAATGAGATATCGCTTTATACCTGTCAGAATGCTTATTATTAATTAATAAATAAAAATATTATTGAGAATGGAGAAACGGGAACTCTTGGGCACTGTTGGTGGGATTGTAATTTAGTGCAGGCACTACTGCAAATAGTATGAAGTTTCCTTAAAAAGTTAAAAATGGAAATATCATATAACCCAGAAATTCCACTTTTGGGTCTTTAGCTGAAGAAATCCAAAACACTAATTTGAAAAAATGCAGGGTAGGGGATTGGGTGAAAAAGATGAAAAGTACTAACTACAAATTGTCAGTTATAAAAATAGTCATGAGAGTGTTAAGGAAATATAGTCAAGAATATTGTGATAATTATGTATGGTGTTGGATGGGTACTAGACTTATTGGGATGATTACTTCAAAAGGTATATAAATGTCTAATCACTATGTTGTACACCTGAAAGTACTACAATATTGGATGTCAACTGTAACTGGAAAATAATGTTTTAAAAAATTGTAAAGGAAAAAATAAAAGACATGGAAGAAACTTAAATGCATATTGTTAAGTAAAAGAGGCCAGTCTGAAAAGACACTATATGATTCCAACTATATGGCATTTTGAAAAATGCAAAAATAAGCAGACAGTAGGACAAAAATGTTTGCCAGGGTTTCAGAGAGATAAGGAAATGAGTAGGTGGAGCACAACGCACTTTTAAAGTGTTAAAATAATTCTGTATGATACTATAGTGGTGGATATGCAACCTCATGCATTTATACAGTAAATTTGAGGATTTCAGGGCTGATAGAGGAAAAATATAAGACCACCAGGTGGCAGTAGCACACAATAAGCTTTTATTTGAGCAGCACTTGACAGGGATGCATAGGTGGCCGTCCTCCAGGCATGAGACCCTCAGAGGCACACAGAGGGCCAAGGGCCAGGGAACTCCCGGGGAGACACGGGTTGGAGAGGGGAGTACAGCCATTCCATAGCACCGGCAGGTTTGAGAGCGCCGAAGGGAGCAGTGGGTTGGGGTGTTTACAGTACGGGGTTCAGTCTGTCAATGACCAGCAAATGTTGGGTGCAGTTTCATAAGGTATGCAAAGCAGGCAGTCATTAAATAGCTAAAATATGTCTGTGTGAGGTACATTTACAACAATTGGATGTGTAGCTAATGGGCCCCAGCCTGCTTTAAAGACAGAAGCAACATGGGGCCAATATACAGGGGCCTCTGGGGCTCATTTATGTAACAATTGGTTAAAAAACAGAGAATTGTACAACACAAAGAGTGAACCTTAAGTAAACCTGGACTTTATTAATAATAATATATTAATATTAGTCCATTCATTGTAATAAATGTACTATATCCACGTAAAATGTTAATTATAGGGGAAATTGGGAGGTTTAAGGAAGACAGAATGGGGTTATATGAGAACTATGTACTTTCTGAACAATTGTTCTAAAATCTAAAACTGCTCTAGAAAATAAAGTCTAGTAAAATTTTAAAAAGTTGACGAAGAGAAAAAGAAGAACGTGTGTGTGGCAGGGTGTGTGTGTGTGTGTGTATGTGGTGTGTGTGTGTGTGCACGCATTGGATTTTAAATCCACACACTAGAAGTAAAAGACAAGACAAAAATAACCATCTGCGTTTCCAAAATATATGGATATGGATTCATTAACAAGTCATTTAATTTATCGACAATGAATTCATTAGCAAGTCAATAAACTGAATTATAAGCTGGTCAGATATATGTGGAACAGTTATAACAGATCAAACATTGATTTTTAAACTTGAAGAGTTCTTGAAAACCCACAATACTGAAGATCAACAATGCAAAGGAGACATGCAGGTATTCAGAGAAAAAGAAATACAATTTTTTACAAAGATACTCAATTTCACTCTAGTCAAGTGGTAAAATACAAGCACTGAGATTCATTTTTCATCGGTGACTTTGGAAAGACAAAGAGCTCTGAAACCTGGAATACCCGTAACGTCTGAAATGGGGACACCACCGGCAAACACAGGTGCTGTGGCGGAAACGTAGGTTGGTAACTATTTCAGAAGAACATTTGCAATATGATAATGAAATAGCACATAACCTTGGCCAGCAGTTCTACTCATAGGGACATTTCCTACGTATGTTCTCACAGGTTTTATCAAAACACATGTGCAAAACACATGTGTTTGTGGAAGCATTACTTTCATCAAAGACGGATACCAGAAAAAATGTGCATCAGTAAGACTGCTGCCGTTTAACAAGTAACTTTACTAGAAAATTTAAGTTTTATGCCATTTGTTGTCTCAGGCTTTTCTTCTATTCATCTCTAACTAAGCTATATTCATTCCTGCTTTGCATAGATCCCCTTACAAAAGCAAATTTTATCACCAGCCTATTCCATCCTTCCTCGTCGGATGCCCACTGTACTGATCGCTCACAGGGGTCCCAGCGTGGATCCGTGTCCTGGACCACCTCCTCACCGTGTAAGTGAGGTGTAAACTGAGTCTCTTCAATATGAATGTTGGGTTCTCAAGGACAAGAACTAGGTCTTCTTTACTTGCTTCTTCTCCCAGGAATTTAACACAAATCCAGGTACATAATAAGACCTAATTTTTCCCAAACATAAGCTGGATCCTATCGACACATCCTCATTCCATGACTATGTGCTAAACCTGAGGAACAATGGTCAAAAGAGCTGGACCCTTGCTTTTGTCTGGGCCTTGCTCCGTCTGCATACCTGATGCTGCGTTGCTCATACAGAGAGGGCCGTACCTGAACTGGGTGCTGTCATCTGGAGGAGGAGCATGATCCCCAAGTACCTGCTCAGAGACCGTCCTTTTGTTTCCATCACACCTGTCATAACAAGTGAGGAGGATTAGAAACAGCAAACACAGGAGTAAGAATTTCTAGAAATCACCTATTTTTAACATCTTTTTTTCCCTGCAGTAATGAACTGTTCAATAGTTTTTCCAGAAATTGTTGTAAGAGTTCCAGTTATTTGAATATCAAAGAAACGGTTATGGATATAAGAATGTCCAAATCTGTAGAGAATTTTTATGAGTTTATGAGTTAAACTGATGACATATGTCTGAGAGAATGCTCTGGAGAATAACAGTTTTGCAGCTTCTTTTACGCATTTGAAATTAAGGAGGGGATGTAAGGAAGAAAGGTTGCATGACGGTGGGCAGAAGCAAGGTGGGGACTGGATCACAGGGTAGCTAACGAGATTGTGAGCTCCCCTGATGTTTGCAGCTGATTTCAAAGGTGTGTTAACCTGGATACACAGAAACAGTGGACAGAGCTTCCTTATGGCGAGATAAACCTTTTACCAAAAAGTTATATACCTGGGGTGCGACCACCCACCATGACCTGTGCAGTTAGGAATTTATGATCAGATGAGCTTGTGTGAGGTTACTTTCCATAGAGCCTCTCTTTGTTGTCCACACAGTGAATGATTTTCTGGTACACATCTTTCCCATGCGGTACTTGGCATCCTGTGCTTTTATGTGCTAAATCAGGCAAAGCATTTTTTAAATTTTTGAATGGATTTTTGAGAGAGAGGGAGACTGGTTGCATTACTAGGTACTGGTGAATAACATGCATGAGAATAATATTTTCTTTATGCCTGATCAAAGCAGACTCCATAAATCAAGCCCAACATTTGCTGTGACACAATACTGCAGAGTGAGTTTCAAATGACCCACAAAAAAAAAAATGAGAAGATTTTCCCTAGAGGTGACTGAGACCTCTGTTCACACCATCGCACTAGTCTGTAAATATATCCATCAAGTCCCTTAACATGTAGGGACGGAGTCCTCCCAGAAGGCACAAGGAAGAGGAAGGGATGGAAGAAGTGATGACCATCTATGAAGAGAGCAGGGATCCTAAGTCTAACACTTACCGGTGATCCGGAGCAGCTCTCTGTTGTCCCTAGAGAGTGACAATGCCAGAGCCAGCAGACTACTTAACACAGCTCTCTCTCACTGCTGCCCTCCGCCTCCGGGCACCTCCTCTGCCGCCTGGTCCTCGGGTCCTTTCCAGGGGAAATTCCGAGAAGACTGGCTGTTCCAGTCCGTGGGTAGAAGTCTTTGTTCAGCTGCAGCGATCGCACCTGGCGTCGCTATACCAACGCCACAAGTACTAACAGGACTTGCCTCACTCTGAAAGGAAGCAACACACAATCTGATTTTTGTATTTTGTGTAATCTGTGATGAATGAAAGGGCCATGATAAAGAATTTGTTTTGAATGCTGTACTGTACTCAGAAAGGAAAGAAACTGGAGAAACATAAAAATACACTAAATTCAGATCGCCCTTCAAGGAGGTGATGATGGCTAAGAGGAGTCTTGAGATAACAGCCACAGTAAGCCTATTGAAGAAGAGGAGAGAGGTGCTGAATAGGTTTTCCAGGCTGAGGGAGCGACAGCTTGAAGGCATTTGAGAGAAAATGTTAAATTCAGAAACTTTATGTCGTTTACTGCAGCTGCAATGGAGATGTGATCGGGAGTGAGGTGGATGAGCTGTACAGAGAATTGTAAGAAATATATGTAATACCTACTTAGTATATGTATACACACACATATATATACCTAATCCTCATGTAATGTAGATAATATACATACATGAGTATTAGAATATGTAGCTACATATATAAGCATATACATGAGTGAACATATGTATATATTTATAAAGAATTGTACATATTTTTGTATATATGCTTGCATAAATATAAATATATATCCATATATATTTTATGCATATGCATACATATCCTAATGGTGTATATATGTACTATATATATGTGTGTGTAAGTGATGATATATATATGTATACATGTCTATACATACACATATGACTATGTTTATACATATACAAACATATGGACTATAAAGCACATAAGGATGTATGTGAGATAATATATATATATATATATATACTTCTCATATACATATGTAAACCAATAATCAGGGACAAGTAGAATGAAAACTTAAAGCAGCTTCATCCACATTGTAGTACGTATTAGTACTTCATTTCTTTTCATGGGTGAATAGTAGTCCATTTCTGAATACATGTTTTTTTAAAGTATTAACTCATTTACAAACTTTATTGTTCTCATCTTTTTTTTTTTCATTTTAACCCTGCATTCCTCATTATAGTGATGTTCTTTTATAAAATTTGAGATTATAATTAACATATAACAATGTATAAGTTTAAGACCTATGTTTATTTGATACATTTCTATATTGCAATATGACTACCACTGTAGCATTAGCTTTATCTCTCTCACAACTGTCATTTCTTTCTTGTGGTGAAAATAATTAAGATACGGTCTCTTAGAAACTTTGAAATTTATATCACAATTTTGTTGACAATAAATAGCTATGTTGTGCATTAGATCTTCAGAACGTATTTATCTACCATTGCAAGTTTGTACCCTTAAATAATATCTCCCCAATTCTCCAAACCCTCAGTCCCTGCTAACCACCATTCTATTCCATTTCTATTAAGTTGTTTTTTTCAGATGTCATTGGTATATTCTAAAAACGATTGAATTGTGCAACCAGGTTGGAAACTGTCTTCATAGCTGACGGGTATTTCTGACATACTCTTAGATTTTCTCAGGGCTTGTGACAGGCAGCACTTGAGAGGCAGCGGGATGGAGCTTTCTCAGTTGGGAGTACTGGGAAAGGCACCGAGGGCATCACAGATGCTTTTAGCTCGCTGTTCAGTGACTGTCGTCATGCTCCAGTTCTGAGCATGGGAGTGCACTGACACAGGAACAAGTTTCACCTTGCAGAGAAGTGGCTGGGTGTGCTGTTATCTCCATCTGCTGTGCAGGTGAGGCGAGCCCTTGCTTCTCTGTCCGAGTCCGAGCTGCAGGGGGTGGATGGCAGAACTCTGCTCTAAGCAACGCATGAGGGTGTATATGGGCGTCAGTTATTTCTTAGCTTGGTCACACAGGCATGACCATAAAAGTAAAAGAACGATGAATAAAGCCTCATCAGAATTTACAATTTTCTCTCATCCAAATACGGTGCTAACGCCCAGGCTTCTGCTTGGGATCCGTAAAGTTGGAGAGTTGCTCCAAGCCTGCCACAAAGAAAAGCTGGGTAACTAACAAAAAATCTTAACGTTTCTTGAATCCTGCTGAGTTTGCAGGGGGAAAGGTAGCCTGCAAATACCAAGAATAGAAAAGTCACAGCACTGACTTCCCTGGGAAGAGTGTAGGAAGAAGAGAAGACGCCATCACCACTGAAACTCCTATGAGACTTGAGCCAAGGTTCTAACGAGGACATAAAGGCCCGGGCGGGCTGGCAGGGCGGTAGGTCCCCAGGAGATGCACATTCAGAGGCACTCACCTGCCGGTTTTCACAGTGAGCCTTCGGAAGGATGGCTGGAGGCAGGGCAGGAGCCTGGAGGAAGCCTTTCCTGTGATGGGCGGGGAGAGAGGGCAGTCGCTTGTTTTGTGGGAGAAGCAGAGGCCACACCCAGTTTCTGCTCCCTTATCTCTAGAGTAAAAATGTTAAGATTCTGGCTAAACCCAGTTCCTCCTGCCTCGTGGAATGAAACTGTTTGAGACATCAGGCACATGATATATATTTACTTACAGACACAGATAAAACTGCTGTGACTACTTCTGTACATGTCTTCTGGCCAAAAGCACTACACTAATCTCTGTTCGATACCTGACGTGGAATCCTGGCTCACACGGTATACAGATGTTCGCTTTTTAAAAAAATCCTCACCTGAGGATATTTTTCCATTTATCTTCAGATAGAGTGGGAGGGAGACAGAGAGAGAGAGAAACACTGGTGTGAGAGGGACACATCGACAGGTTGCCTCTCACACGACCCTGACCAGGGCCGGGGACAAACCTCAACCAACGTACGTGCCCTTGGCCAGGATGGAACCTGCGACTCATTGGTCCACGGGCCGACACTCTGACACTGAGCCAAACTGGCCAGGGCCAAAAATTCACTTTTAATAAATAACATCAGACACTTTCCCAGGTTGTAGTAATTTATACAATCCTACAAGCAAAAATCCTGCCATTTGTGACAACCTGGAGGATGTTGCACTAATAGAACCATGCTGGACAGAAGGACAGAAGGACAGATATTAGATGAGCTCACTTGTGCGTGAAATCTAAAAAAGCCAAACCCATAAAAGTAAATTGTAGGATGGACATTGCCAGGGGCTGGCAGTGTGGGGACGTGGAGAGAAGCTGGTCAAGGAGTACAAAGGTTCAGTTTGTAGGATGAATTAATTCTGGAGGTCTCATGTACATCGTGGTCAGTATAGCCAACAATACTATGCTGTATACTTGCAATTTTCATATAGAGTTGATTTTAAGTGTTCTCACCACACATACAAACTTGTAACAATATGGGGTGATGGTTATATCAATTAGCTTAATTGTGGTATACATCACGGTCAGTATAGTCAACAATACTATGTTGTATACTTGCAATTTTCATATAGAGTTGATTTTAAGTGTTCTCACCACACATGCAAACTTGTAACAATATGGGGTGATGGTTATATCAATTAGCTTAATTGTGGTAATCATTTCACAATGCATACACATATTAAAACATCACGTTATACATCTTAAATATATACCATTTTTACTTGCCAAGTATACCTGAATAAAGTTGGAATCAATCAAACAAAATTGTAGGAATGGATACCCTTTCAATGCTATGTCCTTTAATGGGAGAATGAGTAAACAAATGTGGTACATCCACATAGCTGAATTCTACTTAAAAAGGAATGCACTATTGATACACACAACATATGGGCAAATCCCAAAACTTTATATTGAATGAAAGAAGTTTTTCTCAAAAGGTTACA